AATTATTAGATTTTCCCGGATATTACACCTATACAAAACTTTGGTTTATTTTTCAAGTGTGTAATAGTGGTCGGTTAGTATTAATAAATATGATTGAAACCACAATAATAGATTCGAACATGTACAAAACTTTAGTTTATTTTTCAAGTGTGTAATAGTAGTCGGTTAGTATTAATAAATATTATTGCAATCACAATAATAGAGCGTTGAAGGTTCGAACCTGTACAAAACTTTGGTTTATTTTTCAAGTGTGTAATAGTGGTCGATTACTCTTAATAAATATTATTGAAACCAAAATAATACCAACAAGGACAATGTGGTTTAATGGTTAGTTGATGCTCTTCTTGTTGGGAATGGTGTCCTAGAAGTATGAGATGTAATATGATATTTATTATTTATTTAATAAATGAGTTTATTCATTATTTTATGTGCATATATTTATGAATATTTTATGAATATCAATGAAAATTTCATGGTTATTTATGTAACCTTAAACATTGTATATAAGTGTTATATACGAGAGGATAATGTTTAAGGATAATAATCAAAAAGCAATGTTCATTATGAATTTAATTAAAGTTCGGAATCTTTAATTAAAACATTATTAATACATGTCATTCCCATTTAGAATGAAACGGTGTTATCTGCACTGTTAATATGGTGAGATATTAAATGAGTGTTTTTCGCATAATGAGATTATGTGGAACAAGGACACAGACACAATATGAATTTCTAATAATTCCGTTAAGTATAGAAATTCTAATTGAGTCTATCGATGGTCATATATAGGATGGTCTTAATCCTGAGTTCTTAACAAACTCCTATTTATGGATTTGTGTCTTTTGATTTACTCGGTACGGATTCTGAGATCCTGAATCCTATTCCTTGTATTTTGGAGACATGATGAAGTAGGTAGCCGGGAATGTTATTACACGAGATGGAATCCATTCCTTCTTAAGAAAGAAGTAGATAAATAATTCTCTTGAGGGTTGATTCGGTACTTGGACCAGTAGGAGCTCTGATTTATGAATGTGTTTTATCAATCACTGTCCATTAGAGAATCAATGGTACTCAAGGATAAAGAAGTAATTAGAGAGGTTAACGGATTTTACCTTGCTCTAATTATGAATTATTTATGGA